TGTGAAAGTCGGGATTGGGTGGCTAAATTGGGAGTCGGGACAGTGGAAGTCTCGATGGGGAGTCGGGACAATTGTCGGTGTCAAAGTACGAGAAAATGCAGAGAATAGGCTTTGGTGAAAACGCACATGAACCAATTAGTGCAGTGGATGGAAGTGTAAATAATATCCCACCAACGGTTTCTGATGCGATCCACCGTAGAAGATGAATATTGCTTATATTTTTCCTTGCGTTTGATCTGGAATCATGCAATATCCATTGTAGTGCCGTGAACTGGTGGTACCACGTGAACTGGGGATACTATCAACCGTGGTTTTATTACTTGTTTGGTAAGTCGCATAGTTGGATAATTAAACGGATCAACCACCGATCTTTCAGTCTGAACTAGTTTCGACATAAAATCCGCGGCACCTCGGTGAAGGTTGCTGCGCATTCCATAGCAAGGTAGTGTACGCGCGACAACATGTGTTAAATGATCTTCAAGTTGGTTACATTTCATTGTTTCACAATCCTAACCTGACCAGAGCTGAGGGGGTAAAATAATCTCATTAATACATGAGCTTAGCTGTTGCGGAAACTGCGATCAGCCATTTTGGACAAAGATTGAGTATATGCTAGTTTTCAATTGAGTACCTGTTGTTTTCATGTTGATCACAAGCTGGCTTTTACAAGTTAGTTTTCTGTTGAATACAGATTGTTTTCATATTGATTAGAGGCTGGTTGGTTTGTTGGGTACAGGTTTTTCACTAGTTGTTTGTTCTAGAGAATCAGTTTTGAGCAAAGAAGATAATATTACACATATCAAACATCAACAAGTTTGTATCGTTGGAGGCAACTTGTCCTACTGTTTTCATCAATGAAGGTAACAAGACTCCTCAACAGCCTGTTTTGATATTTCTTAACAACTGAATATGCATAAACAAAACCGCAGTAGACACCATGTGTGTACAAATATATATATATATATATATATATATATATAATTTGTATACATGTTTTATACTTTTTTCTTTCATTCTGATGTTGCAGTGTGCATTAGTGCAAACATCAGTAAAGTAATTTTTTTTCCGACTTGTGCAGGAATTTGAGCATACATTCCAACAGTATGTCTCGTGTTTGAGAATGAGGCCTTGCATTGCAATATTGTGAAAAAAGTATGATACTGCCATTAATGTGGAATGTATTTACTGTGGATGATATTCATCCCCCGATCGACAATATTAATATTTTGGATTCTTCATCAAACATGAGTGTCGACAATATATAGCTTGCAATGGGTGTGTGGTCTATTTGAACTTCTTCAGATCGCCTGGGGAGACGAGATAGGACACCATACCAGATTCATGTGCCTGCAATACTGAGCATGTGTCTTTTGCTCATGCACTCACATCATCAATCAAAACACAGCACTTTAAATACTAGAAACAGGCACATAAAAAAGAACAAGCACAATGCAAACTAAACCCTAGAGAGCACACCATGGAAGTCGAAACCGAACGAACTCTTGTTTTCTTGCATTGATGAAGGTCATACCCAAAAAGGCCCAGACTGGATTAATCCAAATTCTCCAAACTGCTACTATAACACTGGACCAACAGGCTACCAACATCAACTGCAGAAACCTTGCACTTATAAATCCACTCCTGCTGCCAAGCATCCAGAAGAAACAAAGCATGGCCCAACCTGGGTGAGTACTTCAAAAGAGCTCAGAGACACCGAACGTTGCCTTCACCCGCTGAAGCGCCTACCCTCAGACAGTTTGTCAAATCCTAATTTACTCTTTATAAAATCAACCGATTTTAAATACTTGATCTGACAAATGCACAGTCGGTGCTTTTTGTAGCAGGAGCTGATAACAAATATGGTTTCCCTTGACATTGACAGCTGCCTTGAGCAAGATCAAACATGACACCAAAGGAAATGCGACTCAACTATAGTCCTATGCTAACGACCGTAGTTCCAGTAGCTTCGGATCATATTATAGACAGTGCGAAACAGTGGTTTGTATTGTGTGTCTTGATACTCAACTGCAAATGGAACAAAAGTTATGGGGCCACATTAATAGTTAGTTGCTGTTAGTTTTTCACAGTGGCGTTGGTGTCTCTTCGGCAGTTCTTCGCTTCCACGAGACATTCAAAGATTCATGAATATCTGCCGGGTGTACAACATTCTTGTTCACTTCCAAGTCTGCACTTCGTGTTCTTATAAGTCTTCATATCAAATACATCTTATGTCGACAATCCCTGTTGCAATATGCCATGCCAAGGTGTAGATCTTCAGTGCTATAAACTATCATTTGAGATTTGTCAAGCATTTAGGGTTTCCTGATCTACACCTTCTATTGTGCAGTTTATGCAAAACTTGGTCAGTTCCACATATCCTACGCACATTTTGCTCACAAACCCTCAATTGGTTTCGTAGTAGCTGGACAACTGGGGCGAGAGTGGTTACAAGTACATGTCAACAAGGATTCATGCCCTGTACGTGCGTTGATGCATTGGAAATCCACTTATTCAGGATCTCGATAAGTCGCTGATATATATCCGACACTGAAGGCCACTGCAACAACTAATATTCCTCCGTATCTTGACTCAGGATGTCGCATTTCTGTATGTGGTCGATGGGACGACGTATTTACGAACACCCACCTGACAGTGCTAAACCTTCTGTCCGAATGATTGTGAGCATGTTGGATGATTAGGGGATGGCGTGGTTTTGCACGGGAGAAGTGCAGCGCTGTCACGACGACGGATGTGTAAAGATCATTGATTGTAAGAGGAATATTGTGAAATTGCAAACATTGAGAGGTGTGTATCACTTGGGAAGGAAACCACAGCTGCAATTTCCACTACTCATAATTAACTTCACAGTTTCTCATTGTTGTTCTTCTAGCTGCAATTTTGCACATTTTGTTACTAAGTGATTGCACTGGAACAGCTGGAAGCTGTGCTTTCAGCTAAACTCCATGTGGACAACATTATGCTACATGTAGGCCCCTTCTTCAGCTATTGTTGTTATATCACCATCGGCACGGAAAGGCTGGGCTCAGGAAGCTAATGTGGGTTACCGAAGATTGTCCTGATTTATGCTCAGAGACACAGCTTATCAATGAGGTACTTTCCTCTCTGACCCAGTTAAGCCGATGCTTTCTTTGATTAAATAGTTTTGATGAAATGACTGAGCGATTCACACCTACATGCAGATTTATTAGCAGCGATTTAACCTACCACACTCTGTGCCAATTTGATCACAGATTTATTGAGAAATTTGTGATTCCAATTACGATGATTGTTATTCCAATTACAATGAAACTCGGAAGGGAGAACATTGGAAAACCTTTTGCCGAGGATTGGAGAGATGTCTACAATGCTAAGCACCAGAGCAATTGAGTGTGAAGTGATTCATTGATCAATTCATGTGTACAAATTTCTTACTTAAAGAATCATTTCATATTCATATGGTTATTTTACACAACAACATTGGTATCACATATATTGTTGTGAGGTCTTCAATAGATACAAAATACAATACATCAATCAGCTTGTATGTAAAAAGTCTATCAAATTTTTAGCAAAGAAGTCATCCTATTTACATAATTTATAGAAGTATCTTAAATTATTAACGATTTGCAAATGCATTGGCTTAATTGATGTTACACTTTTTTCTTCTTATTGAGTACCATATCAATAATTTATATGGTATTGTGCTTTGTAACTTCAAAATATTTACTGAATATTTAGGTTCATTAAAGCAAACATAAAAATTTTTGTAATGTATATTTAAATTAATATCAATTTTTTTTTGAATAATATCAATATAATTTTAATTCATCTTGAAAGATGTGAATTTTTTCATTTCAGAGGAAACCAACAACGAAAAAAAGGGATGTGAAAGGAGAAGTTACACCATGAAAATGCACAAGTCAAAGAAGGAAGAGAAGAATTCTAAAACCCATAGAGGGACACGTGGCCTCATCCTATACGGTAGACAACAAATCCTCTTCCCGGAACCTTCGCTAAGAGGGATGAAGCAAGGAAGCGAGGAACAACAGGCAGAGGGCCAGAGGGCCCGACCCACCCACGTGCCCACCGAGCAAACGAGCAAGGGATCCTCCTCGTCCTCATCGTTCTCCTCCTCCTCCTCCGAAGGACCAGAGAAGCTAGCAAAACGAAAGGAGAGGGAGGAACTATCGAAGTTTAAGGAGAAAAGAGGAAAGGGTGAGAGAGAGAGAGAGAGTGTGTGTGGAAGAGGGGCCAAGACCAGACAAGAAAGAGGGTGGTGAAACACGGGACGTGGAACCAATTGGGAGCTTGGGAGCTGCAAGTGGGTCGCAATCTGGCACTGGGTCGTTGTTCCTGTTCCCCCCCCCCCCCCCCCATTTTCTGCATTTCTCATATCCCCATTATAACCTAATAATTGCATTTGCCACTAAAGCTCCCGCCTAGTAGAAAGTCTGCGCTTGCGGGAACACACCGAGAGAGCGAAAGAGAGAGAGAGAGAGAGAGAGAGAGACGGGGGATAGAGCAGGAGGGACGGGGCGTCGTCCGCGACGCGGGCTGGCAGGGACGGAGACAAGGGAAGAAGGGAAGGAAGGAAGGGAGGAGAGAAAGGGAGGGAGGGATTAGAACAGGATAGCAGATTGCAAGCTTGCGAGCTTGCGCATGCTTTGGATGTTTTCGACCTCGATGCGAGTTTAGAAGGCTGAGTCGTTCCTCGGTAGCAGCGCTCACCCGTCGCTCATCTTCACTCGGAGCCCGCCAGCCATCGAGGCTTGCTGGGTTGTTGTAGTTGCGACGCACTGTGTCTTGTGCGTGAGAGCGAGCGACATGCGCTGGTGGCGGTGAGGACGAACGTGCGTGGGTGAGGACGAGGAGGAGTCGGGGTTTGGGCGGGAAGATTAGGGTTTGAGAGTGCTGTTTGTTATTTTCATTTTATTGTATTCTGCTCTTCGCCATTTCCGAGGCGGAGCTTGAAAGAGTGGAGGAGGGGGAGGAGGAGGAGGAGGAGGGGGGTTTTGGGAGGGGAGATTCGAGTGGCTAGGGTTAGAGACGACGGGGAAGGGTTGGTGGTTGCATGCGAGTGGGAGGCGATGGAAGGGAGTCGGTATTTGGGAGTGACGGAGCCGATCTCGACGGCCGACCCAACGGAGGTTGACTACGTGAACACGAAACAATTGGAGGAATGTGTGAAGGGGCTGGCGCTGCAGGGTAGCCGAGAAGAGGAAGTTCGGCGAGAGGAGGTTCTGGGGCGGTTGGATGAGCTCGTGAATGTGTGGGTGAAGTCGATGAGCCGGAAGAAGGGGCTGAACGATGAGTACGTGAGGGAAGCGCGGTGTAAGATTTTCACTTTTGGGTCCTACCGGCTCGGCGTGCACGGGCCTGGGGCGGACATCGATACGCTGTGTGTAGGTCCTTGCTATGTGACGCGGGAGGAGGATTTTTTCGTGGAATTGCATGATTTGTTGCAGAAAACCGAAGGGGTCACGGAGCTGCACACGGTGCCGGACGCTCATGTGCCTGTCATGAGTTTTGAGTTCAACGGGATCCCTATTGATCTATTGTACGCGCGCCTGCCTTTGTGGGTCATCCCTGAGGAATTAGACATTCTGCAAGATACCATCTTGCAAAACGTGGACGAGCAGAGCGTGCGGAGTTTGAATGGGTGCCGGGTTACGGATCGCATTCTGCGCCTCGTGCCTAACATGGAGCACTTTCGGACTACTCTGAGGTATGTGAAGCTGTGGGCCAAGAGGCGAGGGGTTTATTCCAATGTCATCGGGTTTCTGGGAGGTGTTAACTGGGCTTTGCTTGTGGCTCGCATTTGCCAACTTTACCCTAACGCCGTGCCGAGCGTGCTGTTGTCGAGGTTCTTTCGGGTGTACAAGCAGTGGCGCTGGCCAAACCCAGTGATGCTCTGTGCAATCGAGGAGGGTCCTCTCGGGCTTCCCGTTTGGGATCCTCGCAGGAATCCCAGAGACAGGTCACACTTGATGCCAATCATAACCCCCACGTATCCCTGCCAGAATTCAAGTTTCAATGTCTCCAATAGCACCTTGCGCGTTATGACAGAGGAGTTTAAGCGCGGGGATAGTATTTGTGATTCTTTGGATTCAAAAGTGGCAGATTGGAGTAAGTTGTTTGAACCATACCCCTTCTTTGAGAGTTACAAAAACTACCTACAAATCGACATCAGTGCAGGTGACGAGGAAGACCTTAGAATCTGGAAGGGTTGGGTAGAGTCGCGGCTCAGACAGCTTATTCTGAAGGTGGAGAAAGACACATTTGGCGCGCTTCAGTGTCATCCACATCCCAGTGCTTTCCATGATACAAGTAAGAGAGTTCAGGTTTGTTCTTTCTTTGTGGCTTTGCAACGTAAGCAGGGTGCTCCACCAAGTTCAACTCCGTTCGACATGTGTCACACGATAGCTGAGTTCAAACATTCAGTAAACCAGTATTTGTTGTGGAAGCCGACAATGAAAATCCATGTATCGCATGTGCGGCCGAAGCAGATACCAACCTATGTATTTCCTAATGGGATCCGTCCAGTACGGCCTCCCAGGCCTACGATCCATAAACCTGGAACTAATCCGGACAATGTACCCACATCTCAGTCTCCAGAAGCGAGCACAAGGTCCGTGGTGACCCCACCAAGTGAAGAGCCTGAGCTGCCAATTCCTGGCACTAAGAGGGGTGCAGAAAGTCTTGGTGTGCTTGGAAAAAGGGTTAGGGTTGAGCTCAGGTCTGAGAGTTGATTGTTAAGGCCGAGAAGGTCTTTCTCGGCACTAATAACCCACAGAAACCTTGTATTGTAACTTGGAGGTCATTTACCCTGTCACTCCCACGCCCAAGCTTGAGGAAGGGAGATTTTCTGTGAATACAGCGCATTGCGGTAGTGGGGAAAGAAAGGTGATTCGTGGAGTTTAGAGGATAGTTTGCTATTGACGCCGTAGGTTGTTCTCCTTGGACATTGCGTGATCTTGGAACCAGCACAGTTTGTCGGAATCGATATTTTTGAGCTGTTGCCCTCTCTTAAGGGTTCTCAGATCACCCAATTTCCTTGAAGAACCAGTTTAGAAGGAATTATGATGCTGAATACCCTGGGTAGGCTGCAGTGAGAGGAAGCTACTTGTTTGACATTATACTATTTTGAGGGGAGTTGGGGAATGAGTTGCTCTTAACCAGGATTAGCATACAAAAAGAAAAAAAAGAGGAAAACCAGAAAAAAACTAAACGATTTGGATGATTCCAGAATCGCGTGTAATATGTTCTACAGTACTTCAGCCTGTATGATAATATTTTTTTTGGCTAATTACTCACTTTCTGTTCCTCTTGACATGTACCTGCAATGTATCTGCTGGATCGCCCAGCGTTCTTACCTCAATAAAGTCTACTGATACTCACACAATGTAAACATGTTTCTTTTCCCTTTCTTTCCTTGTGTTTTGTATTTTTGTTTGGTTTTTGGTTTTGTAACACTTACACTTTGATTTCTGACTGAATCGGCACACCAATGAGTCTACTTCCAGAACATTTCTGTTACTTGTTTGATTTACAATGTAGAAAGCATTCTTGATCCTTGTTAGTGCTTTAGATGTGAGAGAAGATGTAGAGGGTATTACTGATTAGATTCTCATGTTGGAAAGCTATTACATGCCAGCAGGTGGATCTAATAATCAGTTCCTTATTGATGTATGGAGGAGCTATTTGTCGATGTGTTAATTCATTCTGAGTCCAGACGTAACAAACATCTGTGAGATGTCCGAATCTTTCATAACTGTTCAGCATTTATCCAATTGTTTTGATCGATTCTTTTACTTAATCCCATCATTTTCTTGGCTCATGAGTCATTTTTATTTTCAAACGCGAACTTCAAATTCTGAGGCTGACCGGTAGTTCGACATGCGGCATGAGGGAGTCAAACGGGCTTCAAGTGGATGCTACTTAGTCAGAGTGTCCAACAAATCTTATTCTTTTAATAACATATCTTTCTATTTTAAAAATTTGCTTCTATGACAATAAGGCATCGCTACTGTTAAAGAAGAGATTTATCATTTAGTTATTGTACAAAGGCGAAGAAGATAAGTATATTCTAGTTAAGTGAATGATGATGCAAACATAACTAATTTTTTCTCTAAAACCAAGATTAGTTCTGACCACAACAATGAAAATGTTGTGATAGTTTTATCCTCCATATACTAACATCAATCTGACTAGAGGACGTCGACGAAATCTGCTACGTCAGTCTTCGCCGTGAGCTTCTAATCCAGACAACACAGCAGCAGCGACCGTCTTAACGCATATTCAAGCAAGAATTCCGGTCACTCGAAACTCGGACCGCTGGACATGCTTCAATACTGCTCACAGAAAAATGTTCCTTGGCTGCAAAGTATCCATACCAGTGTCGCGATCATATGCAGCCTTGAGAGAATGCAAAAGTCCTCGACAACTCCGGCCGCGTCGTAGATCGCTGGAGAAACGATATTCACCTTTTTGAGACGACCGACATAAGTGTCGCGACTGCGGTAGTCATATCCAGCACCCGACTTTTTGCCGTATTTGCAGGTGTCGCCTGCATCCGATCTCTCAAGAAGTGTCTCCATTCTTCTGCGAAGAGCCCTCCTGGCCAGCACATCTGAAGAACACCTTCTAGAATCCGTCAGCGCCATCCTGCCATATCAGATGATATTTGCTTCAGGTGTTCAGCCACTAGGCTCGGATTGTGCAACTCTGTCTCTTTCTCTCAAGGCTGCAACAAAAGGAAATCTATGCTACACACAACCTTCCTTTCATAGATGAAGATTTCTCCACAGGAGCTGTGCAGTATTGCAGTCACCGACAATAAGCACTGGTCTGCATCGTGCTCTCGTGTGATCCCAGTGTTGTGATCCTTCACCGTAAGCTCCACTGCAACTGCAACAGTGTCCCCACAACTTGGCTTCCATTCTTTTCTTTTCAGTTTGAAATGCGGATTTGTTTGCTTTTTGTGTCGGTGCAAGACCTGTATTTATGGACTAGAATGTAATGGAATTAATTGGTATTACAACTTGGTGTTGATTCTTTGCAAGATCATCACAACAGTATTTCAAGGTAGAGTCTCACTAAAGAAATAAAAAATAAAATAAAAGCCCAAACACCAATAAGGAAAAACAAGGGAGTATGATCTCACAATTAGGAGCAATCTACCTCGATTTTCGGTATAAAATATTGTTATTGATATTATTCTTATTCAACAATGAATCATAAAGTCGAAACATGTGGACGTCGTCGTTTGAAGAATGAAGGAAAGTGTTCGTTGGAATTCAACAGGGGTTTCTGAGTGTGTTGAAATTGAAAAATTAATTGAGTTTGAGGAAAGAGTGGAGCAAAGTTGGAGCAGTGGTTGAGGTGATGAAATGAGTTTTGAGAATTTATAATGAGTTTATTTAACATGAATCTATTTTTAATAGAATCTTTTGTTTCTTTAAATGAAACAATAATTTGTGTTAACTAAAGAAATTGTTTGTTTGTTTTTATTATTACCAACTTGATACATTTTGATGTGTACATTTGTATAGCTGATTAGTTTAAATTGTGGTAGTGAAAATAAATTTTATTCATTAGATTAGCATTTCTATCTTCTAGAACTATAAAATTACATACAACATTATTAAACATGTATTTTCTTGTAAATATTCTGGTTTATTTTTTATTTTCACACTTCAATTATAAATTACTAAATTATTTTTGATATTAACAATTTTATTTTCTACTTTTAGCTATATATGTGCAATTAGTTTGTAGCAAGGTCTTAGATTGATGAAAGGTTATACAAACAAAAAGAAATTGAATTTAGCTGTGTACATAACGAATCTCACATCAAATATCATAAAATAAACAATGTTTTTTTACTTGAGAATTTATTTATGTTTTAATGTATTAAAAATTAAATTATTAAAAATTAAATAAAATCAATTCACTTCTCAATATTTTAGAATTTAAAGAAATCACACAAACTCTCACACACACACACACACACACACACACATATATATATATATATATATATATACATATACTATTTAAATAAAATTTTGTACTTTTTAAATATAAATCATAAACATATTCATCATTTTTATCATAAAAACTAATGAATTTTTTTTTCAAAAATAAATCATTTAAAAAATATATATATATTTTCATTAATGATATAATTTTAAGGTTTTTTAATAATCATTTGTAGTAGATGTGATAGCTATTAAAATTCTAATAATATGTATACATATATATAAAAAAAATTAATTATTTTTTGATTAGACATAGTATTAATAAAATACAATTAATGAATACTCTTATTATTTCAAATCAAATGTTTAAAAATGACATTAAAATATTTGATATTGAATTTAACTATTATTAAAAATAAAATAAAAACTATATATTTTTTTTAAATCATATCACTGTCAAAACGAATTTAAATTAATATGATGGTTTTAATCACTATCATAATTTTTTTCAATAAAAAATTACATTGATTGAATTTAAATTAATATACATGACAGTTAATAAATCAATTTATATCTTTTATGCATCATATATATATATATATATATATATATATTTATATATTTATACACTTCAAGTTTTTTTTAAAGAAAAACTATTATCTTTTTTATTTAACTTCATCAAGCACAAAAAAATTCTTTATGAATTTAATATAATAGATACCTATATTATTTAAGTAAATAGAAATAATTAAAAGTAAGCAAAATTAGTTAGAAAAATGTTAAAAAGATAATTTCTTTTTTAAGAAGCTTTGAAGAAGTTTCTTAGACACAAATTAGATGTTTTAACATTTTTTAAATATGCCATGTGATTATTGAAACTTGTGCTATAAGATACTTACTTTTACAAAGTTATATTAAAAGCAATCTACAACTTGATGTTTGGACCACAAGCCTTGTAATACCTCCACAAGATCTATATAGCTAGTATATGTAGAGGCAAGACTAAGACAATCATCAATCTTGTCAACACATTTCTTGTATGTTAGACTTGGTTCAAGACTCCCTAGTTTCTTTATATTTGGCATTAGTCATTCTAATTTCTATAACTACTTCTACTATTATTTTTTCCTTTCTTTAGTAACACATGAATGTATTGTCTTTTCAAGGTTTTATTGTGATCCATATTCTTAACATTTAATGCTACTAAATTAAACATACTAATAAATTTATAAAAATAAAACTTATCACTTAAGCTTACTAAAAATATTCATTCTACAAAGGCTTTGAATATATCTTATAGGTTAATATTCTAAAATATAATTCCAATAAAAAAAATCTAAAATTATCTTAGAATATTATTAAAATTCAAAGATTCAAAAAATTATAAAAGATTAAAAAAAAAATGTAGATTGAATTTTTAAAATTTATCATAAATTTTTTATTAATTATTTTTTATAATTTATATCAATTTAAAATAATTATTTTATTTAATTACCAAATTGTATTCTTGGCCATCTATTTTATTTAATATATATTCTATTTTTAATTATATTATTGATGTTAAAAAAATTTATTATGCAAAATATATTAAATACAAATAATTTTTGATGTGCTATTAATTTAAATTACAATATTATTTTGATTGTTGTTGGTGATTTACACAAAATTATAATGTTTATAATAAAACATATAATAAGGTAATACTGACATATTTTATCCAATTGATTTTTTAAAAATCTTGTCTTGTTTAACTTTTATACATGTGAATTTGTTAATAGTTAAAAGGTTATGATGGCACTATTAAACTGCTTCAATATAATTAAATTATAATAATTTATGCTTTAGAATTCATGTTTTAGATTAGAATTGCAATAACAAGTTAAAATAAACTTAATATATTATTTTTATAATTTAATGATTTATTATTTTTCTTTTTTTCTAAATCAAATTAGCATTCATTTGTCCATTTCAACCACCTAAACACTACTTTACCTTCTAAAATACATAATATTGGAAATTGGAATAATTCCAATCGTACACTCATGTTTCAAAAATCACAAACCAGTTATTTCTATAATTCTTTGACATGGATTCTCTCACAATCTCGTCCAACAAAAGGTTAAGAATCAATTATAGGTATCAAAGTCAAAGAAAGATGATAAGATTTCCTCTTGACTAAATTGATGTAGCCCAATGGGCTAAGAGTAAAGTCAAGAATTGTTGACACCCCTTGGTAGTCCCTCCACAAAAGTGATTTCTTATTATTTATTTATTTATTTATTTCAATTACATACTTGTTTATATTACCTTTCTCTTTAGCTGTAATAAATTTGTTTTCTGTAGATGAACTCCAGAGTTATGGTTCATCCTTCATGCTCTTATTTAATATTCTCCTACACATTCTTCTTCTTATCCCACTACTTACTTACATTCTCTAATGCTTTGTGTGTTGGCTTTCTCTAATTGGCTTCTTAATTCATTGTGGAGTTTTCTCCATAGCATCCTCCTACTCTAATGCCTTCTAACAATTGACTAATCTTGAACCTCATGTCATCAAAAGCTCTATCAGAAGATGAACTAAGCGGAGTTATAGGTCCACATAGGCTGGTCTGCCAAGCTTAAGTTGAAGTCAGAAGGACAGTGTCATACTAACAGAGGATCCTCGTGGATTGCAATAGAAACTGTGAAACTCTATCCTAAAACCACAGTGAAACTAAAACAATTCAGATGCAAAACTTGCCAGCAGAGAACTGCATTTGGTTACCGAAAATTATAACTCATAATTGCTTCAAAAGGTGAGGCTCTTTCACTCCAATAGCTAACAACAGAACGAGCTCTGCAACTGCCTAGCAGGGAGTTGATGGAGGAAACGAACCACCATCATAAGTTTGCTCCAAGTATCAAAACGAACAGGCCCACTGCTTATGGAGATTCACACAGCAACAGTAGCGTGCATAAAGTCAATGGACTTGTACCAAAGTCGGAAATTGCAATCCCGAAGATTCAAAAAGGAGGTCCATAGTTTCGCCAAAAAAACAGAATTCTTGAACCCCACATTGCCTAAGACATGACGATTCAGCCAAAAAGAATTCGTGAAGTTCACATTGCAAACAATTAGATTCTCCACAACAATATGACTAAGTTACAGTAGTAAGGCTATACATAACCGAATGAACTTGAGAACACAAAAGCTCCATCTCATTCTCCAGATAATCCAACGCCTAAGATGCTTTCATTTTGTCACCCGCATTCCCTGTCGATTCCTTCTTAAGACCCTTGCTCTTCGCTGCTTGTCCTTCACTGCCGGGTTTCTTTGTTTTCTTCGCCTTTGATTTCTTAGTGGCTTGGCCTTTAACTTGGTGACGGCCGAAGATCAGGTTAAAAGTCAATACAGCGCAGATGGTACCGATCATGGGACCAGCCCAGTAAACAGCAAAATGCTCCCAAGACGTATGTTTGTTAGAGACAAAGGCCCATCCAAATGCATTGGCGGGATTCATTGCAGGGCCAGTATAAGCACCGCCCGCGATAACAAGGGCAATGGTAGCTCCAATAATGATGAAGGTTCTCGAGATTTTGTTGCGTGGGCCTCTCAAGATTGCCCACATAACGATTAGAGTGATAGTGAAGGTCAGAATTGTCTCAGCAGCCACACCTGTCTCCAGAGGCACTTTCAATTTAGGACCACCCAATGTATGCTTGTACTTCTTTGGCATGACCTCCCAGATTGTCAGGGCGCCCCCAACCGCACCCACCATTTGGGCCGGCAGGCGGACACCGAGGGTGAAAAGGTCATCGTTGCTAACTCCCGCAAACGAGAAGGCGACGATTGTAGTCGGGTTCCAACTCGCACCTCCAAGCGCTTGCCCTAGAAAGCTGAAAAAAAAGATGAGGAATGACACCAAAGAGAAGACGATATACATCTTTCCCTTTCCGGGCCCATCCAGACCTAACGACGGCGCGATAGACGTCGATACGGCGCCCAATGACGCCATAGCGAACACCCATAGGAATGTGATGGACGCATCTGCGACTGCCTTTCTCGCCAACCCCATTGTGTTAACCTAACCCTCAGAATCTGCAAAAGAAAACACACAAACCAACACAACTTAAAATAAAACCACTCCCAAGATCAAACTCAACTCCCATCACCCTCACAAGCATCATTCCAGTTCTACCACAGCACTTTAACTTCTACATCCCTCCTACGGACCAAATACACAGTCAACATTGACCTATCACTGTCACAAAAGATACCCACCAACCAAAATAAACCCAACCTCATCTCTGAGCACCGGAACTCTCCCTACTCCAGTGAAACCCATGGAACTGCACCAACCCTGCACCACAACAGCTCCACACCCTAAAAGCTCACCTCACCCTCCCCCTCACCTCATCTCACTTCTCTTCAAAATCCTCAAATTTTAACACTAATGGCACAATATGTACAGAAATGCAACCCAGAGTGAGACCCAAAACCCAACTGGAGAAATTTCACTGCTCTCGCATCACTTGCAGTGTCGGACGACGGAGATCCGCGCTCACGGAATGGAACCACGGCCTCCACACCAGTTTCTATGGCGGACCGAGCTGACCCGGCGCTCTGTCTAGCTCTATATATACAAAAACGAAGAAAGACAACCCGACATTTTTCATTGTACAAAGATAGCATCTCGCGAACTACAGTGTCGTATTGAATCCACTCCCCGGCTACCAATCAACTCACCTCCATTGTCGACGTGAGGATTAATGGCAGCCTTCTCAGGCGCTCCGCCACCATCGCCCAAGCACTGCACCCTGGGCATGGAGTATACAGCATGTATCATGTATATACTCTACTACGATATGCATATGTACAGTCTTAAGTATATTTGTTTACCCACGATCGTGCTACGTAGTTGAGGTGCATCATACTCACTTAACAATGGATCCACAAATGGTAACCATGTTCTTGTTGTTATTTTTCTTTATGTATAATTAACTCAGTAGGATATGGTGTGCATCTATGATTTAATAGGATATTTTGAATAATTATTGATTATTGTGTAAATTTCTGATTTGAAAGGTATGCGGCTATTTAAGATTTTTTTACATTGAGAGAACAATTCTTTTTAAAAACATTAAATGAAATATATATATATATATATATATATATATAATTTGATAGGTGGTTTAAAGAAGTATTTTTTATGTTATTTATAGTTCAAAAAAAAATACATGGCAATAACCATTATTAGGGTCATTTTGGTAAATGGGATAACAAACTTGAAAATGCATCAAATAGATGTAAAGATGACCTTTTGAATAAAAAAGTTAATTGAAGAGATTTACATCAATTAGCCCTAAAGATTTGTATAACAATGTATGGAGTATTTTGCATGCAAATTGAAGAAATATTTATGTGGTCTAGAACAATCATTAAAGATATGGTACCAATGCATTTATACAATCTTTGCTAATGAAGGCTTTATAAAGATAAATTAACTATTTCTTGTATGCGATGCAATTTAGAAAGTTATTACTAATTATAGCCCTCTATATAGATGATTTGATCAATATATCTAACTACATAGAAAAAATCAATTGAATAATAGTCAAATTTAAGAAGAAATATGAAATGAATCTCCTTGGAACATTACATTGTTGTTCTAAAGTAGAATTTATAAAAGTTTGTATTAGATGTGTTTAAAAAATAAAAACATGAACAAAACATAGACAAAATAGACAAAATAATATGAATTAATAAGACAAAAAAGAGCTTAGAAAGACATAAAAATAGACATAATTTTTTATAAATATATTTTTGTGAATGTACTTAAGTTTTTGTTCAAAAAATAGAATAATCTTGTATTATAAGTGTATTTTGTATAAACCATTGTAAATAATTGAATACTATAAATCTAGAGTAGAATTAAGGATCAAGCTTATTACTTTAAAAAAAATTGAAAAAGTGTATTATTTTCTTTTGAAGCTCTTCAAAGAACTAATGGCCAATATCTATGTCAAAGTGTTAATTGAAAAAGATATTAATTCAATCTAAAAGAAGTATCATTATAAATATTACAAAAAGGCTTAGCATAGATATGAATATTATAAAGTAATAGAGTCAAGTCTCTATCAATTTGTTATAAAAATTGTGTGATTAATTCATTTCATAACAAAGAAAGATAAATAATATAAAATAATTTTGAGAAAAAGAATGGTCAAATTACTAAAATGATGGCCAAAAAATAAGTTGATATTAGAATTGATCTATTAATGATATTTTGAATTTATTATATAATTTTCACATAATGCTAAGTAGCTGTTTTAAATAACATAAAAAAGAAAAAATCAAAATTAAAGCCATTGGAGGAAAAAAGATGCTAAATAACAAGAAAATAAATCATTACAATAAATAGCAGCAAAGATGGAAGTTTTTTTGAATTTTTCAAAAACAAAAAGGTTTTAGAATGAAATTGAGCAGGATAAAAAGAAAAAAAATATTAAAGAAAAAATAGAATGGTAAAAAAAATATCAAACTAATGCAAAATTAATCTTTACTTGATAATTTTAGAAGATTCTTAACTAATAGTAAACAATAAAGATTAAACAAATAGAATAGTAAGAAGATTTGCTTTGCAAAAATTTGGTATTAAAGTAGTATTCAACCAAAATCTCTTGTCTTATATTGCAAATTAACAATCTAAAAAACATACTTTGACCAACAAGTTAATGAAGATTGACAATCTAAGTTAATAGATTTATAAGAACTTGTTGAGGATTATATAGAAGATACCACCTAGAAGAAGAAAAGAAGCAAAACTATAAGTTGAATTGCATCAAGCAAAATATTATACAAATTGATATTTATATATGCACAAAATCTCAAATTTTTTATAGATTCTAAAAATAGATAGTAACATGGACTTTCAACCATTCACATTATAATTAATGTTGTATATGTTGAAGATCAGCAAGTACTTGCTTAGAGATTAAGCATGGTATGTTGCTAATAGTGAAAAAGAAGTAAAGAGTTAAAGGAAGTTATTATAGTAGCACCTAGAATTTAGTTAGATGAAGTAGAAATAGATGTAATATCAAAAGGATGGAAGTTGCTTCATTGGTTAGTAAACCACCACCTATAAGTAAAAGATGTTGGAAGTAAGAATAATCTTACTCCATACTTTTGTTTGTCTAGAAACCTTGCTGATGCTAAGTGTTTGTAGCTTTTAGACTTCTTTTCTTCAATAGGTTATGGACCCACTCACATTTGCTCTAGTGTTCTAAAGTTCTTTGAAGTGGTTGTTGATGTGTAGAATAGATCAAGTTGTTGTTGCTGATGTTAGGCTTTAGAAGTACCTAACTTTCAGATTCAGATCTACATCTAGATCTTGGTTTGTTCTTACTTGTAGTTAAGAGCATTTTGGTGTTGGTGTTTGGTTTTTCACCTTAAGGCAAAGTTATAGAATAATTACATTGTTCCATTGCTAAGATAGATCCTTGGTGATCTAACTTTGTAGTTTTATATTCTAAAGATGTTGATTGTGCATAAAAAGGCCTCTTATGGTGTATAGAGGTGATTTGTGAGCATAAGAGTGATATTTGAGTAGCAATTTAGATTTGAGACATTAAGATAGGTCATTAGACTTGTGAAAAGCCTTAGAAGTGAAATTGAGGATATTTTTGAGAGTAAGAATAATAGTTTGTTCACAAAGAAGGATTTTGTGATTCTAAGGCAATAATACTTTCTTACTGATTTTGAGAGTATTAGGACTTCTTCTTTCAATTTTTTTTTTTTAATACATCTCTTCCTTCAACATGGCTTCAAGTGAGGATGAAGGATTGAAAGTAATTGAGAAGTTCAGAGGTGAAAATTTCTACCATTGGAAAGTAAAAATGGAGCTTTTGTTGGCATCTTTGGATCTTTGGCATATTGTAGATGAAAGTGAAGAGGCTCCAAGCATAGATGCTGATATGAAAGAGAAGAAAGAGTTCAAACATCACGAAAAGAAGGCTTTTGGATTGATTGCAACTAATATGGATGAAGCCAACTTCTCCCATATTATCTCTTACAAAGGACCAACAGAAGCATAGAAGACTCTTTACAATATCTATGAGAGCAAGAACTTATCCAACATCACCTATACAAGGAGGAAGTTCTTTACTTGTAAAATGGAAGAAGGTGAAGACCTCATGATTTATGTTAATAACGTAAAGGTTCTTGCAAACCTACTAGCAATTATTAACAAGCCTTTAGAAGAAAGAGATATTGTCATGACCTTGCTAATGAGCCCTCTCAAATCCTACAACTACTTCATTGTGGCATTTGAATCTATTAAGCTAAAAGAGCTTATAATGAACTATGTGACGGCAAGATTTATCCATGAAGTAACTATGAAGAAAGAAAATGAATCCCAAAGTGAAGATTCACTACTCTATTCATGTCAAGGCAAGCACAACTATTCAAATCAATGAGGTAATGTCAAATCTTCCTTCATTTGTGGCAAAGTAGGCCATTTTGTTCGAAACTACTACAAAGGCAAAAAGATGAAGAATGAGAATGTAAATAGTGTGCAAGATGAGTTTGGAGGACAACATTATGCATTCACGGCAATAAATGGGACCTCTATGGCTGCCATGTCAAGATGGATTGTGGATTTAGGTTGTTTCAAGCATATGACACCTTATAAGTGTTCATTTGACACTTATGAAGCTATTCCACCATCAAATGTAGTATTGACAAATAGTGGTACATGTAAAGCCATTGGAATTGGCTCTATTATGGTAGAGGTGGTTGTGAATGGACAAACCAATAGGATCAGATTCAAAAACGTCCTTCATGTACCTAAAATAAAACAAAACCTACTTTTGGTGAATAAACTTGTAATGGAAGGTTTTAAAGTTCAATGTGACATGAATGGATGTTTTGTAAGAACATTAAGTGGAGAGAAGGTCTTCAAAAGCTTTAGAGAGGGAAATTTGTACTATCTCATTTATAAGAAAGTGAATGTAGTGGACGTAGCTGCATTTGCTGAGTTTACATCAAATCAAGACAAGTTGAATATATGGCATCGTCGCCTTGGCCATTTGAATGTAAAGAATATGAGAGAGCTCAAGTCTATAGTAAGTGGCTTAGATCTTTGCAATATAAGCCAAAATGCAAAACAACTTGCATGTGAAGGATGCATACAAGCCAAACAACAAAGGGCCTCATTTCCAAGTAGTGTAGAAAGTCGTGCTACCAAGTTGCTGGAGATTATCCATTCTGATGTATGTGGACCTATGAAGAATATAAGTATTGCAGGATCAAGGTATTTTTTACTTTCATTGATGATTATTGAAGAAAGATTTTGATCTATATACTTAAATTCAAGAGTGAATGCTTTTTGAGATTTAAGGAGTTTAAAGCACTTGTTGAGAAACAAAGTGAATGCAAGATCAAGGTGCTGCATATGGACAATAAAAATGAGTACATATCTAAGCAATTTGATGTTTATTTGAAGAATGAAGGAATTTCTAAATAAATCACAACTCTATACACTCCACAACAAAATGGTATTCTTGAAAGGACAAATCGAACCATTGTAGAAATGGCAAGGAGTATGCTTCATGCTCAAAACCTTAGTTATGAGATTTAAGTAGAAGTTGTGGTGAATGCAGTATATATTTGAAATAGGTATCGAATAAGTAGACTTGCATTAATGATACCATAAGAAACTTGGAGTATGAGACAACCTTGCATTTTCCATATAAGGACCTTT